TGCTATGCTGCATCGTTCCTTCTGAATATGAGCCATCCCATCCCTGCCAAACCGGGCTTCCCCCCCAATCATCCCTGCCTCATGAAGCTACGCGCGCGCCCTCATTTATAAAAACCGCTTGAAAACAAAAAAACATATTGCAACAAACGGGACGAACAACGGTACACGAGCGCGTCTTCGCGCGCGCACATGCCAACATCCAACAATCAGTATCGCATCCACATAAGATTTCATGCGCGCGCGTCCTCGCGCGCGCGCGCATGAAATCGTATACAATCAGCGGTATTGCAACGCGGGTGCCAACAACAAATCTGTTCGCGCGTTCTTGCGAATTCCAAAGAAAACCCGCAAATTGTTTGTTTCCGATGATTTATTCATTGCGGCCAAACGACCTCTCCAACGTGCATGTCGACATGATTCGGGAGCCGTTTCGCGCGTGTTGGGGGGAGGGCACGATCCCGGTCAAACAAATACCACGCGGGCCACTCGCGCCCGTCGGCCGCGCGCGCACGACGAAAGCGCTGCAAAAGCTTCCAACTCGCCCGACGCGTGGAACACCATCATCGGCACCAGCGTGACCAGCATCGGCGCCGTATAGAAACCCCCCGCCCCAACACAACGAAGACCAGCCCCCCCACCAGCGCGTCCCGGGGGGGGGGGGGGGGGGGGAGGGGGGGACCAGATATACACCCCCACCCCACTCAAAAAAATAAAATAAAATTTAGAGTAGCTGGCCTTGGAGCCGGCTTCGCATCGTTATCGTCGTCACCAGCATCGCTACTATCATCATCGAGTTTGCCGCTGTCGACGTCGCCATGATACCACGCCCGCCCGAACCACTGACTCGCACGGAAGTGCCCGCGCAGCGATGCGCCAGCGAGCGCCTGATCAGCAGCCATCACAATCGCCGACGCATGGGTTTTGCAAACAGACCTGCGGGCGGGTGGGTAGGACGATTGCGCGAGGAGCGGGGTTGACAACTCCAGATTCGCCGCGGCGAATTGCACGACATAGGGTCTCTTTTCTATAAAGAAATTCGCATCTACCACCCCCCTGAGGCGGGAATCATCGACCCCCCTTCTGGGGATGTGTCACTTACATGCGATTATGCCCCATCGGTCTTTCCAGCTATGAACTCATGCCATCCCAGCCAGGCCGGGTTCGACACCCCCCATCATCTTTTGCCAAAAAAAAACACCATGCGCGCACACTCGTGCATCAAGGATCACCAAGTCCAGCAGTCTTTCGCAGAAAACGGGGACGAAGTGCACGCGCGCGTCGTCGCGCTCGCACGCCGAAGTCCTCAAGACATCTTAGGTCGCGCCGGGATCTAAAAATCAACTGCACCGCCAAAATCCCATGCAGAAAAATGTCGCGACATGTGTGTCGAAACGAAATATGCGCAGAGCTATTGCTGATGCTAAATAAAACAATGGTTGTGTTGTGTTGGTATAAATGCACACACGGAAAACATCAGACCCGACCAAACGGGCTACACAGCGCGCGCGTGTCGGAATAATCCCGAGAGCCCACGCGCGCTGGGGGGGGGGGGGGCGATCTGTCAAATTCGCCGGCCGCCAGGGGCGCGCTAAGATCTCCGCTGACACGCGTGAAAATCGTGACCACTGGGAGCCCCGGAACGAAAAGCGCCCTGGCCGAAACCCGGGAGACTACCAGCAAGGTCCCCGCAAGGTCCCCCAGAGCGCCCCAGACGCCCCCCAGACGGTCCAAGAGGCCCCACATTGCCGAAATATCTCTCCAAGACACCCGCAATTGCCTCCAGACAGCCCCAGAGGCCGCCAAGAAGCCCCGAAAGAGCCTCGCGAGGCCCTCCGAGAGGGCCCCAAGAAACGCAAATCGCCCGTGTCCTTTCGGAAATCGCACATTTCTCGCATTAGCGACTTTGAAATTCGCAACGCTCGGAACTGCCCAGGAGGCCCTCAAAGCGCCCCTGGCCCAACCAAGACGATTCCAGGACGCTGAAAGACAACCCGAAAGGCCCTTCAAGACGGCCCTAGAGGCCACCAGAAAACCCGGGGGGCGGCACTCCGAGCTGCCTTGCCCGGCCATTTCCCGCGAGATCCCTTGCGGGACCGCTCGCAGAACCCCAAGACGCACCCAGAAGCTCCAAAATGCTGGCCCAAGAGTGGGCAGGCGCGGAGATGCGACGCATCAGCTCGCAGACCGTCCGATTGTGCAAACCGCCCGCGCGCGACAGGGTGTGTCATAGAGAAACAACCACGCGCCCTATGTTCGCATGGTGCGGAGTGGTTCTTCCACGTTGCACAGCGCAGCGGTGCACTCCAACGGTCGCCATCGACGCTGCCCTCCATGGCGCAAGCAACTGCAAACGCGGATGATGCATGCGATCGGATACTTGCCATCTCTGGTCGCACCCGCTAGCGGCGCGCAGCGCGCAGTGCCCGCGGGGCGCAGGCGCGCGCGCGACGGCTGACACCGCGGAAACAGCGGGGGCAGTCTGGGGGGGGCGGCGTGAAAAACGAGCGTACGAATGCCGAAATAACGACCAACATCGCGCGCGGTAACTCGCTGCGGAATCGCAACTTCGGGCGCGCATTGGTCCTGCGCCGCTTTACGGGCCAAGCCGCCATTGCGGGCGACGGCGAAACACTGGGCTTAGCGCGTCATGGCGGCGCAGGAAACGTCGCAGAGTCGCGCGTGCGATGCGCGAAACGCCGCGGTGCCGCGCGCGGAGCGCCGTCGCAGCGCGGGACGTCTTGGCGCAATCCTGGGTTTTGACTCACGCGCTCAAGCGTCGCCCGCTCGCGTGCGCAGGTGCGGTTCAACTGTGGCCCAAGTGTAATGCATGTGCAGTTCAGGTGTAGCCCTTGCACTTCAAATGTAGTTCCAGTGAAGTTCAAACGTCGCCGAAGTGTAGTTTAATATTAATCCAGGTGCGTTCCAGATGAGGTTCAGGTGAAGTTCAAATGCGTATCGGTTGTAATCCTTGTAGCTCAAGTGTAGTTCAACTATAGACGAAGTCTTGTTCAAGTGCAACGCAAGTGTAGTTCAAGTGTAGTCCAGGGGAAGTCCCAGCGGATTCAAGTGTAGTTCACATGTAGTTCAGCTGTGATGGGGGTAGTTGCTGCAATTCAAGTGTGGTGTACGGAGTTCAAGTTTAGCGCGCGTAGAACTCAAATGTAGTTCAACTGTAGCCCCCGTGCAGTTCAAGTGTAGCTCCAGCGTGGTGCGAGTGTAGTTCTGGCGTAGTTCAAGTGCGGACCAGGCGTCGCCATTGCAATTCAAGTGTCGGCCGAAGGTAGTTCGAATGCAGTTCAAGTGTAGGCCAAGTACAACGCAAGTGCGGAGCAGTCGTAGCTCCAGCGTGGTACAGGCGCGCCCCTTGTAGCTCAAGTGTAGCTCGAATTTAGCTAAACTGTGGCTCGAATGAAGTTCACGTGACAATCGGGCGTGGTTTAAGTGTGGTTCAAGCGTGGCTTTCGGTGTAACTCAAGTGTAGTTCAAGTGAGTCTCAGCCGCCGCCGTTGCAGTTCAAGTTGAGTCCACGTGTAAAACGAGCGTAGCCCGCGTGTGATCCAAGCGCAGTCTAGTTCAAGTGCAGTTAAGGTCTAGAGGTTGAGTTGTAGCCCATGTAGTTCAAGTCTAGTTGAGGTGTCGTCCGGATGTGATTCGAGTGTATAGTTCAAGTGCGGTTCAAGTGCAGTTCAGATGTAGTGCAAGTGCGGCCCAGGTGCAGTCTTGCAGTTCATGCATATTCCAAGCCTGGTGCAGGTGTTGTTCAAGTGTAGTCACACGTAGTTCAAGCGTAGTGCAGGCGCAGGTTTTTTTCCCCAACGCTTCGGCGATAGAGCTGCCCTTCTTGCCATAGTCCCATTACTATGGCGGAAGCAGGTGTGTGCATCCGCTCTGTATGATGGATGCAATGGTGCGCGCTGTTTTTGTACAGTCAAAATAGCGCGCGCCGCATCTCCGCGCCCGCCCACCCAAGAAGCCTCCAAGGGCCTCCCAAGAGGCCCCCCTAAAAAACACGTCGCCTCCCAAAGACCCGTCTTGTCGACGACCAAAAAGTCGTCTGGAAAGTTCCAAGAAACCATCTACAAACCTCCTTCTGATCGCCAACTCATGCGAAAATATGGGCCAGCGGAATTGTCGAAGCGATTGCGAATAATGCCGCACGAACCGCTCGCGCCCGTCGGCCGCGCGCGAACGTGGACATCTGGGCGAAACCTTCATCGCCGACGCGTGGGCACCTATCGTCGTCATCTGCGCGATCAGCATCGGCGCCGTCCTTGGCCTCACCGTCATCATCGTCGTCGCCGCCGCCGGCGTCGCCATTATCATCGCCGCGTTTAACGCTGTCTACGCCGCCGCGATGCCGCGCCCGCCCGAGCCGCCGACTCGCGCGGAAACGCCCGCGCGTCAGCGCGGCCTGCGAGACGCGCCGGGAAATGCCCCGCGGTCAGCGCCGCCGCGGCTGGCTGGCCCGCGCTCTGCGCGCGCTAGCGCGGCCGCAGCAGCGCGCCGGCCAGCGCCGCGCAATCGTCGCAATCGCCGCCGCATGGGCGCTGCAACGCAAGTTGCGAGCGGGTGGAATGATTGCGCGAGCAGTGGAGTTGAAAACTACAAGTTCGGCAGGGTGAACCCTCCATCTTTAATGAGAAACCGATTCGACCACCCCGCCCGGGATTGCCCGCCCCCCTTTACGTGCAGCAATTCACATGCGACTCGGCCCGATCGTTCGTCCTTTCATAAATTCAACCCATCCCAGGCCGGCCGGCATCGAACCCCCCCGCCATCCTCTGCCAAAAAAACCACGCGCGCATACTCGTTCATCAGAAATCACCAGCTTGCAACAATCACTTGCAGCAGAATGAACTCAAACGAAGTGCACGCGCCCATGCCGAAATCTTCCAAACACCTCTAGGTTTCGCGAAGGATTTCAAAATCGAGCGCCCAAGCAAACACATAATAACACGTGGTTCCGCAACGAAGATTTCCAACAAAGAGGGAACAACAGCGCTCGCGCTCTTGCGAATTCTGCAGAGAACCAACGGCTTTCCACATTTTCGCACCATTCTACCAAACGGGCTCCGCGCGCGCGTCGAAATCGTTCGAAAGCCCTCGCGCGCGCGCGGTCGCAGGAGTCCTTTGCAACAAAAGCAAAAAAACGAAGTACGCGCGCGAGCGTCGTCGCGTGCGCGCGTGCCCAAATCAGTCAAAGCCCTAGGCTTCGCGCGGATTTCAAAACCGAGTGCCCCGACATCAGCTAACAACAAATTGTTTCGAAACATCAGTATGCGAATAACACTGCGCTCGCGCTCTTTGAAATTCTTGAGAAAACCATCGGTGTTCAATATTTTCATTGAGTTCTGCCAAATGGGCCTCTCGTGCCGCATGCCGACATCATTCGCACGCCCTTTCGCGCGTGCTGGGGGGAAGCACGATCCGTGTCAAATAACACCATGCGGGCCACTCTCGCGCGTCGGTCGCGCGCGCATGCTGAACTCTTTCCAAAACCTTCATCACCGACGCGAGGACGCCGTCATCGTCGTCGGCGTGATCAGCATCGGCGCCATCACTAGCCATGCTGTCGTCGTTGTCAGCATCGCCACCAGCTTCGCTAATATCATCATCGTGTCTGACATTGTCGACGTTGCCATGATACCGCGCCCGCCCAAGTCGTCGACTGGCACTGAAATGCCCGCTGGGATGTGCCCAGCGGTCAGCGCCACCGCGGCCGCGTCGGTCGCCGCGCCAAGCTAGCTGGCCGCTGCGCGCGCGTGCTCGGGTTTGCGCGTCCGCAGAGATGCACCAGCCAACGCTCGGCACCCATCGAAATCGCCGCCGCATGGGTTTTGCAAACCAAATTGCGGGTGGGTGGGTGGGATGGTCGCAAGAGCATGTAATGTGTCGGCTCGTTTATAACAGAAACAATTGCACCACTTAGAATGCACCACGCAGATCGTTCGCATCGATTACACACTATGCAACTATGTTTACAAATATGTGTGTATGTATAGTTGCTTCTATACTGCACTACGCCGATTGCACCAGGTCGATTGCACATCGAGTACTCACCAAATAGAGTGCACATTGCACAACATATGTTGGATCACACATTGCACCAACAACAAATTGCATCACATATGTTGCTCCACACAAACAACATATATTGCACAACACAAGTCGTACCATGTAGTTTGCACCACATAGATTGCTCCACAGAGACTGCACAGCATATATTACCAGACGCGCACTGTTCGGGATCCACGCTAGCTCATATATGTATATACGTCAACTTCTGTATCCGCCGACCCCCCCATGCCAGGGGTGAGAAGGCGTGTGAGATGATTGGCTGCCCTCCTTCCCTTTTTCCCCCTCCCCAAAGGTCCAGAATCCCCAGAGACTCCAGGGCTTCCAAATCTGCCGCCCGTGGCCTCAATGACATGCCGAGACGGTCCAGAATCGCCGAATGACTGGCCAAAGAGGCCTACGATGGCTCGAAGACGCTCCAGGACGCCTTCAAGACTCAAGACGTCCTAAGAGAGGCACGAAGCCTTCTCATGAGGCCCCCGAGAAGTAAAAAACCATGCTCTTCCTTTGATTCCCTACCTCTGCTCTGCCTAGAAGGGTTCTTACCCTGTGTGCTTAAAGTGCCGGGCAATGGAAACCGCCCCGGGCGGTTCCCCCGGCATCTGCCCCGCGGTTCCCCCAGTTACGTCCCCTTAGCTTGGCGTTGCCTATCTCATCTTAGCCTAGCTTATTTCATCTTAGCTTAGCTTAGCTTCATCTTAGCTCAGGTTTATCTTAGCTTAGCTTACCTTCATCTTAGCTTCGCTGAGCTTTAGCATAGCAGAGCACAGCACAGCATAGCGTAGCATAGCGCAGCACAGCATATCATCGCATAGCCCAGCATAGCGCAGCATAGCATAGCATAGCATTGCATAGCGCGGCGCGGCACAGCATAGCACAGCGCAGCATAACATAGCAGCAAAGCAAAGGCAAAGCAACAGCAGCGACAGCAAAGCAAAGCACAAGCAACGCAAAGCAAAGCACAGCAAAAGCAAAAGCAAAGGCAAAGGCAAAGGAAAAGCAATGTGCAGGAAAAGGCAAAGCAAAAGCAACAGCAAAGGAAAGGAAAAGCAGCAGCAAAGTAAAAGCAACAGCAAACACAAAAGCTAAAGCAAAAGGAAAGGCAACACAACAGCAAAGCAAGCAGTCTGCCTATAGCATGGGTGTAATTCCCTACCTAGGCTCTGCCTAGAGGGTTAGCGTAGCTTAGCCTAGCTTAGCATAACGCAGCGCTGCATTGGCATAGCATAGCATAGCATAGCATGGCCAAGCATAGCATATCATAGCATCGCACAACATATCATAGCATAGCATAGCATAGCGCAGCTTAACATAGCATAGCATATCATAGCATGGCACATCATTACATATCATAGCTTAGCATAGCATAGCACAGCGCAGCATGGCATAGCATATCATGGCATATAATAGCATAGCATAGCACAACATCGCATGGCATAGCATAGCATAGCAACTAATGCTGCGTTCCTAGGGGCTCCAACTTCTAGGTAGGGTCGCACTGGGGTAATTTTGTTCGTTATTTCTGAATGTATCGCCTTCTCGAGCTTCCAACGCTCCAAAGCGGTCCAAGAGGCCCCGGAAACCGTCCCAAGACTGCTCAAGAGGCCACAACGACGAGCCCCGAGAAGGCCCAAGAGGGCCCCAAGACGGCCCAAAGAGGGGCCCAAGACGGCCGAAGATCGCCCCAAGAGGGCCCCAAGAGAGGCCAAGAGGGAGAACAAGAATCGAAAATCCTGTCTTTCCGTCAAACCCCAAGAAGCGACCCAACAGAGGCCCCCACGAAGCCCCCAAGAGGCCCCAAAGACGCCCCCAAAAGACCCCAAAACGGCCCCAAAGACGCCTCAGACCTGCCTCCAAGGGGCCCAGCCAGGCCGTCAAATAGTTCCCATGACGCCCACAAAGTCCCCAGATAGTGCCCCAGAAGCCCACGACGCCTCACCCGTGGGCTCCCCGCCTTCTGGGGGTCGGCGGACTGGCGTAAGCCTCTTGAATAATATCCTCACTACCTGCCCCTACCTTCTCCGCACACCTCCCTACGTGTCCGACGAAGATGTCGACAACAACAACAACGCAGTCGCTGTCAACAGCGGCAACATCGACGGCGGTAACGACGTGGGCGTCGCTTGGTGCGCTTCAGCTCGGGCAGCTTCGTAGAGACGGGCCGACGCCGACGACGGCAGCGACGTCAACGGCAGCGACGACGTCGACGACTTCGGCGACGACGATGGCGACGACGCCGACAAAGCCGACGATGCCAACGGACGCGACGCCCACAGCGGCGACGCCGACGGCGACGGTGTCGTCGACGGCAGCGGCGACGCGGACGGAGACGTCGACGGCAACGGCGTTGTCGACGGCAACGGCGGCGACGTCACGTCGGTGGCAACGACGGCGGCGGCGGCAGAGCGGGCGGAACGGGGGGCCGTTGGTGCGCTTCAGCTCGGGCAGCAGCGTGGCGATCAGACGCGAGCCTGTGCAGCCCAGGGGGTGGCCGAGGGCGATGGCGCCGCCCTTGGGGTTCACCTTGTGGGGGGGGGGGCAAGGAAGGAGATGAGGAGCAGGGGACGGAGGAGGGCGGAGGAGGGCGAGAAGGATGAGGCGAAGCAGAAGCGGAGCGCGCAGGTGTCCGCCAGGGAGGGGCCCAGAAGGCCAGCGCGAATGGGCCAGAGCCCTCAAGGATCGTAGAAATCGGCGTGGGGAGGTTAGGGATGAGAGAACGTAAGGGGGAAAGTTCATGATCCGCCACTGGTGTCCGAGAAGATGCATTTTCCGCCGGTTTACATGCCGTGCTGGAGAAGGATGAGCAGGAGGGGGGATATGAATGCGGGGGGGCAGGGGGATGAAAGGTAGATGAGGAAGAATCGAGGTTCGGGGGTCGAGGTTTCTGAATATTTGCGGGAGTACTTTTGGCCCCCGTGTTGTGACCCTAGAGGCCTCCTAACCTCTGGAAACCTCTGGAGAGCTCCGGAGGCCTCCAGCCTCCAGAGACCCTGAGGGGGAGACGAGGGGGAAGAAGATCGAGGATCCAGGCTGTTCAGAGTTTTTTTGGCCACATTCGGACCTCGGGGTATCTTCAACTCTGGTCGGAACGCACACCTGAGGAGAGAAGGGAGCGGTGGGAGATGGAGGGGGGACGACGAGGGGCACTGCCTCTTCTTGGTGCACGCCCCCAGCGCTGCGGCGGATCTGCACGGCAGCGCGACTGGACCTTTTGCCCCATCCTGGACGCTGGTTTTTGAATTAAAAAACCTGAGTTTTGAATTCAAGACTGGTTTTTGAATCCAGAAACCTTGTTTTTGAATTCAAAAACCGGTTTGGATTCCCCCCCTCCAATATTGCTACTGCAGGCTCGGGAGAGTTTTCTCCTAGCGCAGGTCCACAAGGCCAGCGCTGGCTTGCAGTCAGTCGCACGTCAGCAAGGACGAAGCGATGGGTCTGCACCACCACATTGCGAGGACGTCTCAAGCGAAAACCGCGCCCTAACGAGGCCTAACAAGGGTGCTCGCAAGGACGTCTCCGGCGATACCGCGCCCAAGCCGGGCCAAGCATAGTAAGGACGGCTCGGGCGAAACCGCGCCCAAACTAAGCCACACCAAAAGAATCGCGAGGACGTCTCCAGCGAAACCGCGCCCAAACTACGCACATCGCAAGAAAGCCTCAGGCGAAACCGTGCCCAATGCAAGGCAATCAATGGAAATTGCAAAACAATTGCGAGGACGTCCCAAGCGAAACCCACCCAAAACCAAACCAAACGAGCGACCAAATCAAGATCCTACCAGCCATCTGAGCGTAGGTGGTCTCAGGATTGCTCTCTTTTGACTTCCCAACTCCTCATCCCTTCGGAGAGGGGTACCCTCCCCCTCCCCTCCCCTGATGTTTTTGTTAGGGGTTCTGCGAGGTGTCGGATGATCCGTTTTCGCCCAGGGTGGCTCGAAGAGGGCCTCCGATTCGTATGTACTCCAAGATGTCCTCCAACATGGCTCAAAATGGCCGACTGTGGCTCAAGATGACTTCTACCTCGCTCCAAGAGGCCCCAAGGACCGCTCCAAGACGGCCTGAAGTGATCGCGGAGCCCTCTCAGGACCTCCCCAAGAAGCCAAGATCGGTCAAGAGCCGAAGGAAAATCAATGATTCTCGTCTCGCCTTCTCGCTTCCCATTAGCTTTTGAGGCCTTAAAATGGCTCGAGAGAGCTTCAAGATGGACCCAAGGGGCCCCCTAAGAGGCGCCCAGCGCCCAAGATCGCCCCAAGAGCGCCCCAAGAGGCGAGCCTGAGAGGGGGGGGAACCTTTCGATCCCTCTCCTTTGATCGATGGCGTCCAATTTGGCCCCAAGGCCCTCCAGGGCTCCCAAGACGGCCCCAAGAGGGCCCCCTGACCCCCCAAAAGAGCCCCAGAGAGCCACCCCAGAGGGCCCCGAGACAGCCCCACGAGGACGCCAAGAAGGCCTCAAGAAGACCCCAAGATGGCTGCCAGAGTCCTTGACCTCGTCCTCATCCTCCTCCTCCTCATACTACTCTCTTTCGATTTCCTCCTCCTCCTTCTCCTCCTCCTCGTTCTCGTTATCATCGTTATGTGCCTCGTCTTCTTCAATGTCTGGCTCCTCTTCCTCATCCTTCTCCTCCTCATCCTCCTCCTCCTTGTCCTCCTCCTCGTCCTCGTCGCCCTCTTCCTTCTTATCTTCGTGTTATCTTCCTTGTCCTCGTCCTCCTCCTCCTCCTCCTCATTATCGTTCCTGTTCGTTCCTGTGCGCGTCCTCCTGCTCATGTTTATTATCCTCCTTGTCATCGTCCTCGTCCTCCGCCTCCTCTTCCTCCTGCTTCTCCTCGTACCTTTTTAGGCAAATGCCCCACTGCACGCTTCAACACTTCCCTGAAGAAGGCAACTCGCCTGGGCATCCCTTCGGGATATCACTCTTCAGGTTCCTGTTAGCTCCCATCGGCATCGTTTCTGAATGGCCTGGTGGGGATTTGCGTAAATGAAGAATTCTGAAGGTGCCTCAAGCTGTGGACCATGCGGAACCAGGGGGACAACAAAAAAAGGCCAAACCAAGGGCCAAGCCAGGCACATTCCGATGGTGCCCTTAGCAAAACGCCCCAAACCTGGCTACATCCTTTCTCCGTGATAAAGTCCACCGGCACCCGCTTGCCGGTAGTAGAAAGGCGTGTGAGACATTCGGTTGTCCCCCTCGCCCGCTCCCCCCCCCCAATGGTCCAGGATCCCGCTCGGGCGGGGGAGGGGCCAAGAACTCGTCAATGCACAAGAAGGGGTTCTCTGGAGGCCCCGAAAAGCCCCAAGACTGCCGAAGAGTGCCCAAACAGAGCGCCGAGACAGTCCAAATGATGGTCGAAACGGCCCGTGGTATTCCGCGACAATCAAATATGGCTTCAATACGGCCCACGAGGCCTCCAAGACGGCCCAAGAGTGCTCAGCGAGGACCTCTGCGAAGGCCCGAAAAGGCAAACATCGTCTCACGCCTGAAGGAACATGTACATGTCCACTATACATATCATCCGTTGTCTTCGCAGCGTCCAATGCAGCCCAAGGGGCCCGCAAGAGTCCCAAAACGGCCCATCCCGCCCCTAATATAACCCAATATGGCCTCAAGAAGGCCCACTAGAACTCCATGGCGGCTCCAGGGAACCCTAAGACGGTCGAGTCTTTCCCGCCGTGATAGCCCCAAGAGCCTACTAGTGACCTCCGAAGCGCCCTCAAGAGGCGCCCAACTGGAACCCCAAACGCTCCCAAGAGGCCCCAAAAAGCCAGCCCGATACCCCCCAAGAGCGCACTCTGCTTCTTTGCGAGACGAGGGAGGGATCAGGCAGGAGACGCATAGACGCGGAGACCGCCTGCCTGCGCTTTCAAGGCTGAGGCGCGCAACGTGCTCAACCTCAGCCGACCCTGGGTTTCTCAATAAGCGTGGGGGGCTCGCCTCGTCGTCGCGCCGCGACGGGGGTCGGAGCGCCTTCGGCGCGCGGTGGCTGCCCGCGACGAAGGTCGATGTGGGGCTGTCGGCGGGGGCGACGCCCCCATCGACGCTTCTTAAAAAACACCAAATACCCCAATGAATCTCTTCTGCCCCGGAACCCCGAATCCTGCTCGACCTCAGGGGGGCGACGCGACAGGCCTGCCACGGGGCCTCCCAGGCTAGCAGCGCTCTCCAAGACAGCCCCCGCACGGCTCCGAGAGCCCCAGGAGGGCCTGCGCGGCCCCCCAGAGAACCGAGATACAAGCCCAATGTGCTCGAGCCCCAGAGGCCCCAATGACTTCCACGCCCGGGCGAAACTCTCTGGGTCTTCTGGGGGGCCGGCGGAACGGCGAAGGCCGCCGGAACGAAACGAGACGATGGATGCCACAAGGGGATCCCTCTGCTGACCACCACCATAAGTTGGAGGGAGGAAGGAAGTGGAGGACGAGGAGGACGAGGAGAAGAGTGAGAGTGAGAGCGAAGCGGAAGCGAGTCGGTCGGAACCGACGCGCCCCACCCCTGCGCACGCGGCACAGGAAAGGCCAGCGGCCTCAGGAAGGGAGCTCCAGCGCTCAGCACGGCCCCGCCCTCCACCTGGTACCAGGACTCGCCGCCGTCCCGTTGGCTGACGGCCTGGGCATCCACCGCGACGATGTCGTCGGTGCCAGCGCGGCGCCCCGATGAGCGGGCCACTGCCGCAAGAAGAAGGGGCCTCATCGTCGAAAAGCGGCGCCCCGAGGAGCGGGCCACTGCCGCTGGTAGTACCACGCACTTCTCCTGCTGAAGGGCCCCGTGGAGATTTTGGCCTGGATCGGGGAGCAGCCTGGACCGCTGCCGCCCGTAAAAGGCGCAGCATCCCCCAGAAGTGGCGCCCCGATGAGCGGGCCACTGCCGCGAGTAGCAACCCCATCCGCTACATGCGGCGCCCCGATGAACGGGCCACTGCTGCTGAGATGCTGCGTGGCGCCAGCCAGAGGCGCCCCGAGGAGCGGGCCACTGCCTCGGAGACAGGCCGATCCTCCACCCCCTTGCGGCGCCCCGATGAGCGGGCCACTGCCGCAAGGTGAAGCCTGCGCGGCAGCAGCTCGGTCCGCCCCGAGGAGCAGTGGCCGCAAGCGGTAGACAAATCAGCGTCGCGGCGGCCACGGCCGCAGGCGGGCTTCCAGCACAGCATGCCGCCAGCGTCCCTCGTGACGGCCCTGCCGCTCTAGTCTCCGTACCAGCCGCCGCCAGCTCCGCCGCCACGTCGCGGGCGGCTGCGAGCTGGGCCTCCAGCTCGCGGCGCTCGGCGGAGGCCAGGTTGAGCTTCTGCCTGGGCAACTCGGCGGCGTCGACCTTTTTCTTGCCTTTGCTCCTTGCCCGTGGGCCCCAAGAAAGGGTGCCAGGCGCGGGGCCATGTGCTCCAGGACGCGCACGTCGGCCTCCGCCTCCTCGACGATGGAGTGCAGCCGATTGAGGGACACCTCGCCTCCGCGCGCCGGTACTGCTCCCGGCGCCTGGCCGCGGACCGGTTGGGGCGGCGCCGGCGCCCGCCGTCGGCCTCCTCCCACATCGCGCGCACGGAGGCGAGGGGAGGGAGGACGGCCCGCGGCGAGGGGAGGGAAGGAGCGGAAGGGCTTCCGCGGCGCGGGCTCGGAACGAGCGGAGGCTCGACCCGAGCTGGCGCTGGAGGAAGAGGAGGAAGAGGACGAGGTGGAGGACCCCCTCTCCCTCCTACTTACGGTGGTGGCGGTGGAAAACAGGCCCATCATCTGCGGCGGGTGCTGCAATTAGAAACTTCTCGGGGGGCGGGCAACAGCATGCACGTTGCTGGGATCGCAACGGCATGCATGTGTGTTTCGGATGTTGTTCGGGCTTCGGTGTGGCGCTCAAAGAGAGGTTCCCCAGCCTGGAGTAGTCCAAGAAGGCTCCTCAACGGTATCCCAAGGTGCCCCCAAGCCCTCCAACAAGCCCCTGGGAGGCCAAAGCAATGGAAGCACCTTATGGTCTGACAGCCCAACACGGCTGACAGCCCAAGACGGCTCCGAAGCAATCGGCGGCTCGAAAAAAACCCACCGAGACCAACGACCAGCCCACAACATGTCCATCACACCCATAACCACATGACCTCACTTCCCCATGTTCATTATGTATGAGGCCGACAACATGCACGGATCGATTGGATAAGGCATGAATGATCGACAACGGCTGGCGTCAAGTCTGAGAAGAAGCAGCAAACGAGGTCTGGATAGGGACGCGAGACAAGTGGCCTTCTCCATAGGGATCTTCAAATGCTCTATGGTCATGGTGGCCTTGAGCCGGTAGTCAAAAAGCAGCAATGCTCGTGTGACGCGATTTCGTGGAACGTAAACTACCGAATTGAGTAACCTTGATTGGTTTCGATTCGTGGTGCGACTGCCACCAGGTTATTGCATCAGAAGCACCACTACGGTCAATCCGACGACCCTGTCTGCGTGTGCGAGACGCTGCTTCGTTTGACTCGTCGTCGTCGCCGCCGCCGTCGCCGCTCCTACCCCTTTCTCTGGGCCCTCCTCCTCAAGCGCGCCAGCCAAAGCGACACTGAGCAACGTCGTGGTTGAGTCGAAGGGAAGCCCATTTCCTCTGATCCCTTACCCGCCAGGGGGGTGGGTCCCTGGAGGGATGTTGAAGGTGGGGGGAGGGGGCGTACAGTAGGGGCCCGACCACAAGAAACCTTCCGCAAGAAACCCAACCCTGAGACCCCAGGACGTCCATTGACTCTTGGCGTGAGAACGTCACGCTTTCCATAAGAAAACCATCGAAACCCAAGAAACCCAAGGCACCCTGGAGGCAAGCAGGGTGTTTCCTGGCATGGGTCTCCACTGTCCCGGGTCAGAAAGTCGAAAACAAGCTGGTAAGCTTAGGTATACAGTCCGCCTTAGGCGCTTCCATATCCCAGGCTTAGGCTCATAGCGCATGAGCAAGAGAGCGAGACGAAGCATGGGATCTGGAGTATAGAGTAGGATGGGCATCGTCAATGGAAAGGATGTTTTCCGATCTCAGATGCAAGTAGTGCGCCTCGGTGAGGCACAGTCACATATTAGGCCGGGCCCGGCTTGAGCCAGGCACGGCAGCGGTACATGCTCGATTTATACCTCGCCTTTAACCTTCTCCGTTTAAAGTCGGAGGGGGAGGAGACGAGCAGGTACCGCACTTCTATTATGCGGAAAAACAGTGCTAAGCAGCAGCGGCTGCCTACAAGGAAAGGGCGCGCGAGTAGCCTCGCTACCGGCGAGTTTCCTCGCTGCTAAAGCGCACCTGCCCGCGGGTTTCCCCGCTGGCTCGGGAGGCAGGGCCGTCCTGAGACGACCTGCCCGCCCTATACGGCGTATGTTTCTTCAGCTCGTGCTTGAAGGATTGCTGGCCGGCCATTACTTGTAGGAGCAACGCGCGGTCAATGCTACCTTTGGTATGACCATCGGCAGTCATATCCCGCGTGTCACACCATTGGACGCTTTCCACGATTCCACGTTCCATCATCTGGCGAATCCAGCTGATGTGCCCAAGCAGAGTACACTCTGTGGGCTTCTTCAGATCCTTGCTAGACAAAGATTTGAAGACAGACTCGGCATCAATAGTCAGAGTGACTTTGATACATAGACCACCCATTTCCAATATGTTCTTCAACTGTGTGGGGGTCAATGGTCCCGAGTGTAGCTCGTGGAGCGTTACAATGGTCGGGTAGCAGTCTTCCAAGTTGTGGGCTGCTGCCAGTGTTTCCGCAGAGTAGCTCGAACGCACCTGCAGTCGATGAGACTTGCAGTATGCGTCCACCAGGTGCACGACGGGTTTCCCCGCTTGCGTGTGGCCACGCCTCAGCAGGTTAGCCCCGCGGATACCATAGCCTTTGACTTCGTCGTCTTCATCTCCGTTGAGACGACGATAGCCAGAATCGCTATGCAGGTCGACTTCTCCTGTTGGAGTCATAGCATGATACACGATCTTCTTCGGGCCTGCCTGCAATTTTCTGGTAACCGCGTTTAGTCGTCGTACCTGGATGTTTGTCGGTTCTTGGATACGTTGTAGTGAGACAACATAGACCATTAGCCATACCTGCGTGATCAACGCATAGGCTAGAGCGCCACGAAGACTGACGAACATATCAGAAATTGTCTTCGTCGCCTTGCTTTCAGGATCAGCTCCTGTGAGTTCTGGATGTGTGATAGGACGAAGCTGTTTGATGTATTCGTCCTGGTCGAGAGTGACGCTCCCATCATCGGTCTTGTTGTACCGAACAGCACAGTTCGTGTATGTGTGCTTGTTCAGTTTGCACTTCCCAAACGTATCTTCAACACACTTGACATACTTGTCGATAGCCTCTTCCTTCCCAGTCATATTGATGTCATCAACGTGCTTGGCTGTCAAGAGGTTTGGGCTCATCTCGAACTCTTCGTCGTATGAAGTAGGTTGTAGCCCAAAGCTCCTAGTGATGGACCTGAGTTTCAGCGAGAATGCCCTGGGAGCATCCTTCGTGCCCGTCCCCGGTTTCAGACACCGGAGACAATGCTTTGATTCGTCATATGACTCAAAGCCTGGCAGTGTGCGAAGGACAGCTGCTGACCCAGGTGGTAGTGTGAAACACACCACACGTTCTTTCTCGCCCGTTGCCGCGGCGAGCTCGCCATAGGTCAGTCCCTTCAAGAAAGCCATGTTGATGTCCAGGGAAGCGATAATCCAAGCTTTGTTGCATGCAGCAGAACTTGCGAGCAGTCTCTGGCTTGACCTCCTTGCCGTGCCAGAGAAGGTTTCGACATCAAAGGCTTCGAGGTCCATGAAGCCACGGAGTACCAAGCGTAACCGGATCGTCCTTTCCATTTCGCCCTTTTCGTTCTTGACAAACTTCCATTTGTATACGTAGCGTGACGTCATGATGTTAGACGCCTTGCTTAAGTCAGTCATCTGGAAGCATTTGTTGTCAAGCCAAGTCTTCATTCTGTGTAGAGGGCTTTGGAAACTTTGACCGGATTTGCTTGGATGTCGGCCTTCGTGAGTAGATCGTCTTCCTTGACGACCACGGCACGTTTGGAGGCAGCGCTAACGTATACTCGCATAGTTGTGACGCTGCTGTCATCCAACAGTCGGTGTTGCTGCTCGGACAGGACGACTTTGGACATGTCTGCAGTGAAGCAGAGCTCGATATACTTCCCGTGCTCATCGGAGTCCAGATCATATTTGCTATCCGGTTCCGTGGAGCATAAAGGAACGTAGTAAGAAGTGTCCATGTCGTATCCTGGCGGGTGACCCCGCTCCGGCAAGTGGCCTTGCACATCTTCACAGGTCGTAGAGACTAACACACACTGTGTGTCTGTCATGTATGTAGGAACTGTATGCATGACTTCCTCTGTGTCAGCTTCAAGGAGTGTTCTGTCATCCATCAGTTCAGCATACCACGACTTCAAGACAAAAGCATCCAGATCTTCTTCTGTCTCCTCTATGATGGTCGGGAGCCGACCATCGTTGTCCGTAGGAGGCTCCTCAGGAGCAGCTGCTGGAGGTGATTCGCTTGGTGGTGGACCATCAGCGAGTTCCTCAAACTTAGTGAGATCTTGGTCAAACCCAGCAGACGGCTTCCTGGATTTAAGACACTGGATGATGCGTGAGTGTGTAGATCCTGTGATGTCATAGATGTTCAAGGCAGTGCCATCAGCTTCATAGTAATGAAACCCAGGGGTCACATCGTTATCATAGTGCACTAGTGTACAGCTGTCTGCATAGGGTGCGGCAGGCAGCTTCGTCAGGCTCTTGGCGAGTCGTACAGCAACAACGTTTTCAATACGAAAGTAGTTGCGTATGAGGTACTGAAGAGCCAAGTGCACCTTAGGTGAAAGTCGGCTCGCAGCAGTCATCTGCAGCCGACCCTGTTTCGTTGGTAGATATCCGAAAGTCATGGCGGGTTTCCCCGCTGGCAGACCGGCAATAAAGGCCAATACTGTTCGAAGGGCCGTATTGTCCGATCCTATCTCGCGGACCATAAGTGCTTCGATGTACAGTGTGTGTCGTGTGTCAGGATACTGTACTCGTACTTCGCGATTGCCGACCTTCACGATGACCTGGCCTCGGTCAGGTTCGTTGCGGATGACCGGGTATGGACCACTCCATCCACCCCAGTCGTCTTTCGTGGTGGTCGGGCGATGATAGTCCACGAGATCTCCCTCTTTATAGTGAAATTCACCCGTAGCAGTAGTCTTTGTACGGAGAGCCCTGTTCGTCTTGGCAACCGCAGTGGCCTGCGTGATTGCCTCCAGACTAACCCTCCTGATTGTTTCCTCCCTTGAGTGATCTGATGATTCAGTGGGCTGATCATGATCCAAGACAGGGAAATCAGGAAGCATAGCTGGTTGTCTGCCATACAGCGCATTGTACGGAGACACTTCATTGTAGAAGGTAAATGCGTTGCTGGCAAACAAGGCTTCATGTAAGAGACGAGTGAAATTGAGAGGGATATTTAATCTATTCAATTCTTCTCCCATCACGTGTAGGAGGTGTCGCAGGATGCCGTTCCTAGCTTCGATAGTTGTAGCGTGTTGGCCACGCGCTCGAATACGAAGCTCTGTTCCCTTAGCCTTAAGGATGGCCTTTGCTGTATCATTATTCAGTGCTCCTTCCCCATCGGAGTATAAGATTTTAGCAGGGCCATGCTGCATCCAAGTCGTATGATAGGCATCGAGAACAGTATGCATGGCTTTATCAGGAATCTCTGTGCCAGCTGCCCAGCGAATACAACGGTCGATGATGTGAAAAACAATATGTTCCTGTTTGTAAAAGAAAAGATCACATTCGACTTCCTCGTTGAAACGTCCTGGCAGTGACACAGAAGGCATCACCGTGTTGCCTGGTTTGTCCCAGGCTCGACATTCTCTACACGAGTCACAAATGCCTTTGATCAGACTCAAACGGGTTTCACCCAGACCAACCTTGGTTAGAATCATCCGCATTTTTGGCTCCTTGGCATGAAACCATCTCAGGTGGAGTTTGCGGAGTTCTCGCTGCACTACAGCTGGGTCGAAGCTGCGCAGGTTTTGGAGGCTGAGCTGAACGTCGAAGCGAGTCCAATCAGGGAGCCTTGGCCTTGGCCTCGGCTCTGCTTGAGGCTGCGGCGGTGGTGGAGGATCTCCTCCCTCCATGCGTCCGCGCCTTGCTGCAACTTGTGGCAGTCTACGGTGATCGTCAGAGCTGCCAGCACCACTGTTGCCACCAGTAGCCCCGTCAGCTCTGGTGATGTCATGGCTGCTGGCGCCTGCGGTTGGGTCGCCCTCACCAGGCCGTGGCGGCC